GGCTCAAGTTGCAGGCCACAAAACTGCACCAAAATTGAAACTAATCTCCTACCCCAGCATTCAGACACACACAGCAGGCAGCAGCCCCGAACCAGGAGACAGAGCAGAGCTGACTATGCAGTGACTGGTCTCATCCAGGGAGCCGGAGAACCAACTCAGCCTGGCTGGGGCAGTCTCCCAGCAAACTCCACAAACTGGGAATCAACAGTGGAGAAATAAAACCCAGCTGAGGGATCCTGCCTTCAGGTCCCTAGAGGCTAGTTCTCAGGGGGAAGCCCTGCATGCAGGCCTGGGGCTTACTAGCTCCCACACAGCCAGCTCTCCCCTTGCCCTGGATGGCTCCAGACTCCTTCAACAGTGGCTTCTCCTCGCCCTTCTGAACTCCCTGGGAGGGGCACCTCACTCCCTATGGGTTGCCAGGCAGACTCTGACCCTGGTAGAGAGGGGGAGCCAAGGCAAACTCAGTGTGCCTGTCTCTGAGCTGCCAGCAGAATGTATTCGGAAGCAAATGAAGCACTCATTGGCATTTCTCACGCACATTTGTATATGCTCTTCTGATCCTTTTTGTGGAAGACGTTTTTGCAGAATAAACTGCAGTGTAGATGGTGTCGGGGACTTCTAACCCAGACAGCTTCAGTTCGTTGTCTGACCGCAAAGAGACAGGCAACATCAGCAAGGTCTAATCACAAAGCTCTTTACTGAAGAGTGCACACGACAATAGAGAGCAGCCCATCTCCACTGAGAACCAGCCCCCGATTTCTATAGCAAGTAGAGTTATATAGACAGTTCCATCATGTCAGACTATTTACTTAAGCAACCTCCCCCCCTTTGTTAGTTAGAAACTTCTAGCATGGATGCATACCGTGCCAACTGTACAAGGTGGCCTTGATACATTAGCAACTTTCTTATTAAGACAGAAGGCAAGTATCAGACAATGAGGAGACAGGGTGTTTTCTTATCAGTTCCTTAAGCAAGCTATTCAGCTCAGCAAGTACAAAGATGCAGCTGTTCACTTATCTCATGCCCTTGCTTAACTCATGTCTCAAATTTTGTTCAGGGACTACCCAGAACCCTTTGCTGGACTCTTCTTGGTCTGTCTTAGCATAACCGCCCTAGGCCCAATTTTCTGTGGCCTAACAATGGGAACATTTTGCACAAAAAAAGCCTTTGTGCAAGAACCCTTATTCCTCAAAAATGAGGAATAAGGGTTCTTGTGCAAGAGGGGGTCAGAAGAGAATATGCAAATGAGAGCGCAAGATATGTAAATGAGTGCTCCATTTGCATTTCCTCTTCTGGAATAAGTTTGTAGTATAGCCATAGCGATAGGAGCCCATGGACTCAGCAGAAATTATCAACCTACTATGTGAAGCACTGTTTATATAATTCTGTTCTAAAGTTTGCTTAGCTAGAAGTTTTGCCCACAGTCTTTTAATTCTCCTAAGGGCAACTTCAAAAGAAAAGCCCCACTCTAGCCCTTGGTACTTTCCAGCATAGTTTTTGGATGCTGGAAACTCCTCTAATACATGTCCTGACCATATCAGAGGGTATGTCTACACTACAAAGTTAGTTCGAACTAACGGACGTTAGTTCGAACTAACTTTAATAGGTGCTACACTAGCGCTCCGCTAGTTCGAATTTGAATCGAACTAGCGGAGCGCTTAGTTCGAACTAGGTAAACCTCATTTTACGAGGACTAACGCCTAGTTCGAACTAGCTAGTTCGAACTAAGGGCTGTGTAGCCCTTTAGTTCGAACTAGTGGGAGGCTAAGGCTTCCCAGGTTTCCCTGGTGGCCACTCTGGCCAACACCAGGGAAACTCTATGCCCCCCTCCCGGCCCCGGACCCCTTAAAGGGGCACGGGCTGGCTACGGTGCCCGTGCCAGGTGCAAGCCTGCCAGCACCCAGCTAGCAGACCCTGCACCTGGCACGGCACAGAGCCACCCACCCGATGCCCCCCAGCCCACCCCCTCTTGCCGGGACCAGGCTGGCGGCTCCCGGGAGCTTGCCCTGGACCGCAAGAGGCGGGCACCTTCCTGGGCTAGTGCGGACATCGTGGACCTCGTCCACGATCTCCGCACTAGGCACAGGAAAGTGGCCGTCTAGGGCAGGAGAGCTGCCAGCCTGGCCACCCAGGACCAGGTGTGCATGAAAATCAAGGGGGTCCACTGAGACCCCCGACACTGAGCCCTGAGCTTACAATGGCCGTCCTGGGTCAGACCAAAGGTCCATCTAGCCCAGTAGCCTGTCTGCCGACAGCGGCCAACCCTAGGGACCCTGGAGGGGATGGACCGAAGACAATGACCAAGCCATTTGTCTCGTGCCATCCCTCTCCAGCCTTCCACAAACTTTGGGCAGGGACACCACTCCTACCCTCTGGCTAATAGGACTCCATGGACCCAACCTCCATGACTTGATCTCACTTCCCTTTAAACTCTGTTCTAGTTGTAGCCTTCACAGCCTCCTGCAGCAAGGAGTTCCACAGGTTAACTATTTGCTTTGTCAAGAAGAACAACTTTCTCTTACTAGTTTCAAGCCTGCTACCCATTCCTTTCCTTTGGTGTCCTCTAGTCCTTCTTTATGGGATCTCAGGAAGAACTTTTCTGAATGCACCCTCTCCACCCAACCCCTGCTTTTAGAGACCTCTATCCTGTCCCCCCTCCGTCTCCTCTTTTCTAAGCTGAACAGTCCCAGTCTCTGTAGCCTCTCTTCATCTGGGACCTGTTCCCAACCCCTGATCATGTTAGTTGCCCTCCCCTCTCCCAGCCTTTCTCTTCCCCTCTCCCACCTCCTTTTCCCAGTCTCCCCCAGTTTTTTTCAATAAAGACAGAGTCAATGTTGGAAGAAACGTTATCTTTATTTTGTACATCAATAAGAAGGGGGGCTAGGGAAGGGTAAGTGGAAGGAGGTGAGGGAGGAATGGGGTACGAGCCCCCGATGGGGAGGACTGGGCTGGCTCTGCGGGCTTCTGGGGGTGGAAGCTCTCCTGCAGCCCCCCAATTACTCCCTCTCCCCAGATGGCAGCCTGCGGCAAGTGCAGCCGGGCTGATGGCCGAGTGGTGTGATGTGCCCAGTGTGGGCACTCAGGGCACTCCAAGCCAGAACTTCTTTGCAAGCGGGGCACCCCTTAGAACTGTGTGTCCGGGGTGGGGGTCGGGACCCTTTAAGCGCAGCCCTCGGCTAGCCTGAGACAGCATCTCCATGCTCTAAGTCCTCCTTTTATGCCCTGCCAGCACTGCTTCCGGCCATCCTTAAGCCCTGTTCAGAGTCCACTCAATGTGGACTTGCTAGTTCGAACTAGCAAAACGCTAGTTCGAACTAGTTTTTAGTTCTAGATGCATTAGTTCGAACTAGCTTAGTTCGAATTAACTAATTCGAACTAAGTTAGTTCGAACTAGCGCTGTAGTGTAGACGTACCCAGAGGGAGTAGAGGCACATACCAGCTATTCAACAAAGCAAGGTTTTATTCCCATTCAAAATATATACATGGCTTCTGAGCAAGCCTCAAGACTCCAGGGTAGAGGGCTGGTAAGCCAATGATTATTTCAATGTATATATGAGCTTTGTTTTGTGTGGAATGTGGTGGGATGACTGTGCACACTTATAATGTGCTTGTCAAAGCTGCGCCAAGAGGACTTTTTTCTATTGCTTTAAATTTAAATTCTCAACAATCTCAGGGACAGGCAAGGCCTGCCTCTCCTAGTGAATGAGTCAGTATAAATGATAACTTATCTAATACTGGCTTTTCAAGAAAAAACTTACAGAAAGAGTCTGTAAGAATTAAATTCCCTTTGGTGGGAAAGGTGGGGGTGAGAGATAGAAATGATAGTAATAAGCTGGGCTGTCTGGAAAACAAGTAATTCTGCTTCATGATAAATTTTAAGGTTTTAAGTAGCCCCTTTTACATTTTTAATGAAAAAACACCAGAGTTCCAGATTAGCCAAGTGGATAGATTACTCATCAGGGATGTGGCAAACAGCAACGCTTTTCCATCATAGAGTTCTTTAAATCAGGCAGAGTAGGGCCTTGAATACAGGTTTTCCACATCTCAGGTACATGTTCAAAGTATCTGGCGCTAGAATGAGAGAACCTCTTGCACTTGCTCACATTTGCACACACACAGGTATATATGTTTTGGCATAGATGCAACAGCATATTCTGAAATTACATTTAATCAGACTGGTCCCATTGTTCCTACATACTACAGCACACACAAAGCACTACAGCACACACAAAGCACTACAGCACACACAAAGCACTAGGTTAAAGAGTCAGGTTGCAAAGTCAAATGTTCAAACATTAGGAAGTGCCAAAACGAAAGATGCCAGCGCAACCTTCATTTGCCCCAGTATCATTTCCTAGCTGTGAGGGCTTCACTCATTCAATAAGGTTCTTTTAATAGAATTTTGGGTGTCATTTCACAGGGTATTTAAAAGGCAGAACTGAAAAATCCAGAACTTCCTCGATGTGGCCTTCAAAGCAACACCCACATGGGTCAGGAACAGCATGGACACAGAGCTCTGTCACTGACTCTAAGGGTATGTCTAAACTACATTTTTCTGTCGAAAGAGGGGTGTAAATTAGGCAAATTGAAAGTGCAAATGATGTGGGGATTTAAATAGCCCATGCATCATTTGCATAATCATTCATAGCAGTCTTTCAAAAAAGGCTATTTCAAAAGTGAAATCGCAGTCTAGACACAGTTCTTTCGGGGGGAAAAAACCCCTTTTTTGAAAGATCCCGTACCCCTGACCAGTACTCCTGAGGAGTACAGGATCTTTAGAAAAAGGGTTGTTTTTTTTTCCCCAAAATAACTGCATCTAGACTGCGGTTTCACTTTAGAAATACCCTTTTTCGAAAGACCACTGTGATTATGCAAATGAAACATGGGATACAGCCGCTCCCCGAGTTGCGAACAGTCGAGTTACGACCATTCGCACTTACGACCAAAGCTTCCGTGGAGCGGTCGTAAAGGCGGTCCCTGAGTTACGAACACGACCCATGCTTACGAACAGCATGGTCACGTTTAACTCAATGGGGTCCGAGTTTTGAACAGTTTGAGTTATGGTCCAAGTGTTGGTTTGTAACTCGGAGAATGGCTGTATTTAAATCCCTGTGTGACAGGGTA